ACTCAAGAAAAATGTATCCATTTAAATATTTCATGGAAATATGACAATGTTTTGTACATTCAGGCAATATCCTATGCAGGATTACATTAATGCATTAAGCCTTGACAAATATTAAATCTATTTGTAAATCTTAAGAGCACTGCAGTGCTTAAAATATATTGCATATATGGTAAAGCAGAAGTTTAAGGTGAAAACAAAGCAGTACTATTAGGTTGTGTTTCTTTCTTTTAAATTGAATAAATGAACAGTTTATTCGTATGGATGAGAATTTGATTCAGAAAATGCTACTGCTAATGAGCCAAAATAAAATTTAATCTTCATAAATAGAGTATTCAGTTACTTCAGTTTTGGGAACCAGGTAGGGAAATGAGAAAAGATAATTTGAAATTATTCAAAGTAAGACTAACTAAGAAGGTTTCTAAGTGGTAACTGCTTTAAATAAATACACAATTAGGTTTCTTTGGTAAATGTGCAGTTTTTGTCTTTTCTGAACTCAGTGCCTATCTCTTTTTCTGGATGCCTGGTCAGAACTTTGTTGTACAGTAGGTGCAGTATATTTTTGGAGGAAACTTCAAAGTGGATGTTAGGGCATCATTCCAAAAGGCAAATAACTTCTCTCATTTCCTACTTGCTGGGTCTATATAATCTTTTTATGACAGTTCAAGCTAACAATGATGTTGGTGTTCTTTATAAATTAAGTAATGAGGGCAACAAATATAAAATTTGTGTTTGAGAGCAATGGAAGAAAACTAACTTGAAGCAAAAACATAATTTCAGTGAAGAATTTTCTCATACTGTGTTTGACAGGTCATTAGGATCCAAAAAGGGAGAAACAATGATGTGTGTTTTAGCTTGGTGAGAAATATCTTGAGGGATTTTGTTGCCTTTTTTTTTTTCCTAGTGAAAGTTAAGATAATTGCAATTACAGAGGAACAAGAGGTTTTATTTAAGTCACTGAATTATTTTTTTTCATGTTACAAACCAGATTGCTCAGTGCCCTGTAGATCTGCAGTTAACAAATATGTGATATATGTGAGATACATATATGGGGGGGGTTGGTATGTAAAATAGGAGTTTCTAAACAGAAAAGGACAAAATGGGTAGGATTCTGAGGCTTACAAGTAACTCAGAATTATGTCCCCTGGTTTTGGCTCTATGGGTGGGAACAGCTCTGACTTCCAGGGAAAAGGCACAGCCACAAAACTGAGCATTATTTGACAGATAACAGATACCAAATTTAGATTTGCTGGCTCAGAAAGCCATCTCAGACTCTTTTTTTGTAGAGGCAATCCAAAGAGTTCCCTTAATAAATGATGGCTTTGGTCTAACTGGGTTCAGCAGAAGCCAATGAATAGATCAGGGACTGAAAACCAGGATGCTTCAGATCCCTTTCAATTAAAGAAACACCATAGGCAAAGGTTTTTGAAAATACCATAGTGGATCATATGTGCTCAAGATGAGAGCCATGGCAAAGGGGCATTTGTAAAGGTTTTATTCCAATTTTTGACCTTAGGGCGACTTTCCAGACTTACAGAGCAATATTCTGACACATTCTCACGCCCTGAGGAGAAGTGGGGTAGCACATGTTACCATCTCATGGTTCTCACAGAATGGATTCAGTGGTTTTGGCAACCAGCAAAATAAAAACTCACCCTCATCTGTACATTTATTTGCTGCCTAAATCCAAGGATGTCTTAGCCTGTATGGATACAGAGTCATGGCAGCAGAGTCTAGAGACACACAGGAGAGCCAGGGAGGGGTCCCAGCCACGGAAAGAGGAGGGTTGAGTTCCAGCAAGATTTCCAGGTTCATCTTCACAGGACTCTGTGAGGTTTGTATGGCTGGCAAACACAGAACCACAGAATATCCTGAGTCGGAAGGGACCCACAAGGATCATCGAGCCCAACCCTGCACAGGACCATCCCCAGAGTCACCCCCTGTGCCCCAGAGGATCATCCAAACCCTCCTGGAGCTCTGGCACCCTTGGGGCTGTGCCCACTGCCCTGGGGAGCCTGTTCAGTGCCAACCACCCTCTGGGGGAAGAACCTTTTCTTGAGATCCAACCTGACCCTGCTCTGACACAACTTCAGACCTTAAAAGGCACCAGAGGTTGTGAGGTTGTAATTCAGATATCCAAGAGGAGCCTGTTCATCTTTTAATGCTGTTGTTTAGTTCTCATTGACACAAATTGCAGGTGCATGAAGTGTTTGCTTTGGGAAAAGGGCTTAGAAGTGCATATTTCAGGTCAACACATGTTAGTTTTATTTGTTTATTTTTTAAATGCAAGGGGAAACGTTTCCATCTAAAAGAAACCATGTTTATTTAGAAAGCCTAATGATTCCATCAAGGAGAAGTGTGCATGATCAAACCAAAAATCTGCAAGAGTCTCGATGACATTTGATTGTGCTGCCCTCACTTTCAAGTCCTCACTTGTCAAGTGAGCAGAGCAGTCTGCCAAGGGGAGACTCAGCGGTTTTGGGTTCCCAGGACCCACTTTCTGTTTCAGAAAATGAAGAGGAGGGAGAGGAGAGTGTATCCCTTTGGAAAGGCTTTCATCTGCAGAGTGATTTGCCTGGCTCATCCTTTCCCACAGAATAATGCCTTTTTTAAGGATTATTTCAGCATTCATTTCCCAGTGGCAGAACTGAAGAGAGCAGACTAATTCCAGTGATTGGCCTCCATCTGAGGTATCTAAAATGGGTATTTTAAACCGCAAAAACCCTATTTCTCATAGTAAGTGATTGCTTTACTAGTGATTGCTTTACTATTTTCAGTGTGTTCACTTAACTCATGGTCAGTCTTCTGGGGGTTAAAATGAAAATACTAATTTGTGATACTGAAGCCAATCACTGGTGGTTATAGAAATGTTACTATGACAATTGGGACCATTGCTGCAGAATACTCTGTAGTGCCTTTTTTTTTGGGGTTTAAATAAAGGGTTTATTTCCTGGTGTAAAGGATGATCTGACAGTTTATGAAGAGCACTGTAGTATAGGGAATATCTGAGCCATTGTTAAAACTCTTGGAAGGGTTCCTGGTTGACAGTGATTTGCACAAGAAACATGTGGTCCATCACAAACTCTCAGGCTCCTCTTTAAGGTATTTTACTGCTCCTGTCTTACTGGCTTTCCCTAAAAAAACCTTTGATGTTTTATAGCTGCATGAAAATGCCCTTTTTTTTTTTTTCGATACTACATTTTGTTTCTTGGTTGCCTCCCCAAATCCCGGCTTGTCAGACTGTGTGAGCAAAACTAAGACATTTTCTGGAGCTACCACTTTGCCACTGATCTTGGCACTGCTGAGAGTCCCAGGGTTGTCTCTCTTTCTTTGTGCTGTCTCACTGTTGGTGCAAAATCTGGCAATGCCCCTCTTCAGCTCTTGCTGGGATGTGCTACAGTCACGCTGTTCTTCTTGACCTCCAGATGTTTTGTAATGCAGCAAAGAGCCCTTATGGTTTTCTCTCTTAATTTATGACACTTTTTTTTTTAATTATTATTATAATGATCGTCATCAATATTTTATCTCGCTTTCTAATTATTATTTCAGCGACATCTGCCTGAGCCATGTTGTTTTCAAGCCTAGATTCATCCTGTGTGTTGCTGGAATTGTTTTCAAGAAACCTCAGTGGTGTTTTTAGACTTGAGACAAAGGGTAGATGATGGAGAGAACAGTGGGGACAATGGAATGAGATACAGTGAAGTCAGTGAACATGGGAGTGAACTGAAGGATGAACCTGGAATAAAGCAAAATCTATGAGTGGAGAAGTGAGATTAAAATAAAACATTGCCTTGAAATGCACAAAGCAAAAAAGATAAATAGGATGCACAAAAAGGCTGGAAAATTCATGTAAAAGGGGGAAATATTTATGCTTGCTAGACAAGAACGGTGTGAAATACAATACCAGAAATTTCAGGCTGAGAAAGTAAAAAAAAAAAAAAAAAAAGTAAAAAAAAAAATTACTACAAAGATTTGTTGGAGGCCCTCACCAAAGGAATTAAATATGTGTGGGTTCAAGCACCTGCCTAGTGCAGTAATTCCTCAGGAGAGATGTTTCACTGCACATATTTTTGTGGCCTGATGTGAAGCCCCCTGAAGGCTGTGGGGCAGTGTCCACTGCACACAGGGGGCTTTGGGGCCCCTCCGAGCACCTGCTGGAGAAAGCAGCAGATGACAAATAATGCATGGAGAACATTCCTGCCATGGGTAAGAAGATGGCTTAGCTGATTTAATAGCTTTTTCTCAGTCTGTGATTCCAACAGCCAGGTTTGTGATATTTATTTTAGTATTCATGTTCTTGCAGTCCTTTTTACATTCCTCTGTTTTTCCCTGGCAGACATCCCGCAGCTCCATAAGTCTGGGGGAAGAGGATGGTTAGCATGTTGTTGCTGTGGGGATTTGAGTCTTAGCTCTCTGTGTTGGTAATGCTGGGCATATAATTTTAAAACTTGCACGCTGTAGAAGCAGATAATTATTTCCCTGCTGCATTTTATACCCTGGTTTGGGCAAGGAATACATTTCAGAATATTAAAAAGAAAGGAAAAGTTCCGGCTGGGGGGACTACTGGAAATGGAAGCAGAAAGAGGGGAGTAATGGGTGTCAGTCTGGTTATCAGTCAAGCTGCAAAGAGACAGCTTGTTCTGTCACACCAGGAGTGTCAGTAGTCAGCCAGGCACTTATGCAGGAGGAAAACCGTAGACTGAAAGGTAAGGTTCAAAGGCATCTGTGTGTGTTTCTGAAATGAGCTTGAATTAAGCTATTGAGTTCTGCTTACTGAGTCTGTGTGTCACATATCTGATTTCTACTTGTTTTTGTTGCAAGATCTGTCCTTTTCCCTTCCCTTCCCTTCCCTTCCCTTCCCTTCCCTTCCCTTCCCTTCCCTTCCCTTCCCTTCCCTTCCCTTCCCTTCCCTTCCCCAGTCTTTAAGCTTTTCATATGTCCAGAGTTGGGTGACTGTCACTGAGTAGCAGGTTTAGCAGTGCTATCAGATACATTTTTCTCCCTTTCCCCCCTTTTTTTCCTTACCTCAAGTGGAATATGTTGTCTTCCCAGTTCTTTCATGTATATAGAGTGAACTTCTGTTCAGCTCCTTTCTCAGCTGCTGTGAACTCCTGAGAACTTCCCAAGGCCAAAGGGAAATCCCAGGTCTCCAAGGACCTTTGTAACCACAGTTCAGTCATGTGTAAAGTGGGCATAATCCCTGAACTATAAAAGAAAGGCTGTGTTTTCCAGGTAGTTCAAACCCCTTATGTAGAGCTGTGGAATCATAAATTATTTATCTTGCTGGAGAATATTTCTAGAGGTCACCAGTTTCTAATAGTTTCTTTCAAACCAGAAGTGGGTTCACTTAGAACAGTTTGCCCCCTGTAAAATCTCTGACCTTGCCTATTCAAACTTCTTTGCAAATGCATCATTTAATACAGGAAGCTCCTTGGGGAGGGTTCTCCACATCTGCTGTCATAATTTCTTATTTCCTAAATGCAGCAATTTGTACTTGAGTATTCTTACCAGGATTGTGCCTCCCTTCCCTCCCCTCTGCTCTGGCACATTCCTTTGTGGCGCTTCTTGTGTTTGAAATCCCAAATCTTTCCCCGTTGTCATTCCAGCTTTTCCTTACCCCTCAGTTCTAGGGGAGGGCATGAAGGAATCCGCTCCTTTATTCTCCGGCTGTTTTCCTGCGGCTCGTTAGTGACAGCAAGTTGTCATCATTTTACAGCCATTCAGCCACTAACAAAACCAAGAGGAATCTCTCGTTTCAGCTCCCCGGGAACGAGATTTCCCCAAACAAAAACACGCCACCACTTCTTGGAGTGCTCAACCTCCGTAGTAGTTAAGCAAAGGACTGAAGCCCAGGTTTATAAAGATGTTTAGGTGCTTGACTGCCACTAAAACTGAATTGGACCTAAGTACCTGTAAATAGCTTTAAAACTTTGAGCCACTATGAAGGCCTCCCTCATCCATCACTCTTGGCAGTGGTCCCCTCAGAATGGAAGCAAGGCACATCAGCAAGGTCACAGGAAATAGTTCCAGTCCTGCTTTCCAGAAACCGCAAGTATTAAGTGAATTGCTGCATTCTAGCGTGGCTTTTTATGAAATACATCTTCTGAAGCAAATTGCTTGTATTCCCTAGAAGAAAAGAGCCCTTGCTTGCATGAAAGCAAATATTTAAGTCAGACAACTTTTAAAAAGGATGTAAAATTATACTGTAAAAATACCCACCTTTATAGCTTATAATCCATTTTTTATTAAAGCTGGGAAATAAAAGTAAGATTCACATTCAAATTACTGTCTGCTGTTTCTAGGGGATACTCTTTGCATTCCAGTTGGTTTCGCTTGGCTTTTTCTCTACCCATTTTCAGTGCTGCTGTTCTAGACTTGCATAACCTTCAGGGAAAAATTTATTCCCAAACATAAAACCTGTATGGATTTTACATTTTTAATATTTAGTAACATTTAACTGTGTGTTAGCCCTGGAATCACTTTGTTTTCCAGTGAATCCAGAAAGCTGGGCTAATGCTGACTGAAAAGTGTTTAAAGGGGGGAGGCTTTCATATTTGTGCCAGGAGTTCCTTCAGTGATACTACAAAACCAGGAGCAAGTGCAGAGGAGGCCGTTTGCTCTGGTTTTTTGGTGTAAATAACAACCACTTGCAATGATTCCCTGCAATAAATGTCGCAGACTTTGGGAAGATTTGGTTCACAGAATCACAAAATCACAGAAGGTTCTGAGTTGGAAGGGATTTCAAGTTCAGGTCTTCAGCGAATGTCCCCTCCAGGGGTTGAACCCACACCTTGGCAATATCAGCACCGAGCTAGTCTCAGGGTTAAACTGGTTCTTGTTTAATTAACTGGCATTTTCATTGTGCACAGTCACTTTCAGGTTCCATGGTTTGTTTTTTTTTTGTGGGAGGGTGGGCAATAAACCTTCAGCAGTGCAGTAAACAAGGAAGTCAATGATTGTGTTGGAGAAACGCTCGTTGCGCCTTTCTGAATGACCGTCTCATCTTTTAGGTTTGTATTAAATGTCTGAAGTATTTGAGCAAGTTCTTTAGCAAGTTTACTTTCCGTCCATGCTCTCCAACTAAAGCCTGTTCATCCAGTTGCTGGGTTGGAAAGGTTTGTGCTGAGTCCTTGGAGGAGCGTTTGTCCCTCCCTGTCTCCCTTTCACCTTCGTCGCGTTGAACAATGCAAATTCCAGGCAGCCCAAACAGTTACGTTCCATCTCTCCCCTCTGCTTTCAGGTGTTTCCAAGGGGGGTGTGCTGTTGGGGTGAGATGTCCTGGTGCTCTCCCATGGACGTAGGGAGATAGCAGACATGATCCCCTGAGGAGGCCGAGCCCCGCGCCGCAAGCATGGCCTTCGCGCAGTCGCACATCATGGCAGCCCGCAGGCACCAGCACAGCCGGCTCATCATCGAGGTGGACGAGTACAGCTCCAACCCCACGCAGGCTTTCACCTTCTACAACATCAACCAGGGGCGTTTCCAGCCCCCACATGTGCAGATGTGAGTAGTTTAGCTCTCTTGCTGCTCCGGGGCAGTCTCCCGGGGCACGTCGTTGCCCTGTCGATGTGGTGTTTGATGGAGCAGGCAGGAGGAATTTGAGGAACTGCTGCCTCTCTAATAATAATTACTGTGATGATACAGAGTCAGCCCGTTTGCAGAGTACTTTGTTAAAGGAGGGGAGAAAGATTGCTCCACAAGTGTAATACATAATACTTAGGTATTAAAAAGAGAAATGAACAACAAGCAGTGGTAATAAAACACGAGATGATACTTTCTGCAATCTTAATAACGTTTGTTTGCTTTGTGCAGTTGCATATTGATGCACAGAGCTGTTGGAAACACCCAGCCCCTGTCTGTCCAACACACACTGTTTGGTTAGTTATATTACAGCTACATACAAGGGAAAAATCATCTCAATAAATAAAATAGTGTGGGCACCCATCCGACAACTTACTCTCACTCCGATGTGCCGAAAATGCCAAGTGCTTAAAGAGTGATTAAAATACTGTGTTTGTTTCTGACTTCTTATATAATGATAACATCAGTAAAATTAACTGCTCTAGATGATTTACTTGTAAAGTAAAGTGGAGAATTATAATTACAAAATGAAACCTGCTGTAAAGTTTAGAGCCAGAAGGAAGAGCAAAACAGTAAAAGCTATTACAAATAAATTAAGTATAAAATTCTACTGTAAAATATTTTTATAGGGAGTAAAAATGTCTGTACCATTTTATCGTGGTTATTAAAGAGAGAAGCAGCCTTATCTTTAGATCAGAAGGCTGTTTTTGTTTTTTAAAGGGAACTCCTTTCCTTTAGGAAAGCCGAACAAGTAAACATCTTGTTCACATTTTTGGTATTTAATATGATTTAATAATTTACAAAATAGGTTATGATTTCTGCAGCTAAAAGATTCAGCACTGAACGCTGTGTGTCTATTTAGTGATGAATGCTTATGAACATTATTTGGCACAAATGGATTATATAAAAAGAATCTGAAAAGTAACCTGTATTGGGATGGTGAGCAAAGACTCAGTTTTTTGGGGCAGCATATTATGGTCTGTGATGGGGTTTTTTAGATCCTATTGAACTGCAAACACTAAAGTGATCTGGATGTTAGCACTGGTTAGTTATATTACAGCTACATACAACCATCTTTTATTTATAGAGCTGGCAAATGGTAGCAAAAGTACAAACAAACAAATGCTTTTACAGATGAAAATGCCAGATGCAGGTTGATTTGTCGAGGCTCAGCTGCTTTCTGTGAATATTCAGACAGTTCCTGGGCACTCAGGAATTTGTTTCCTGGTCTTAAAAGCCGAATGTTTTTTATTGGGCTGAAAGTAAGTTATTTATTCATATCCACTTGGCACTCAACAATATGCTGTTTCAACTTCTAACCACAAAGAAATTATGGTACTGGAGGGCTTGGACAATCAACTACATGATAGAAATTCAACACCTGAACAAGTAGTTGAAAATAAGCTGTCCTTAGAAAATGGTTCCTCAGAAGAGTTTAGCAATCTCTCATGAATGATTAATACTATTGGAGATGCTTGTGCAAATGGGAAAAGAGGCCAAATCAATTGGAACATGTACCATGATCTGACAAATTGTAAATAATGTTTCTTGAATACCAGCGGGATTGCTTTTGCCTCCTTCCAATGAATAGAATAGTAACAAAGAAGGGAGAAGGAGACATAAAAAGGGTAACAAAGGCACCTTTTATTTACATGATTGTCGTGGGTGAAAGCCCTGTTTACATGCACTCAAGTTTTGTCCTTAACTTCTGGGAGGTGAAGGCTTTGTGCTTGTTCAAAAACATCTGCATTAGTGACGTTGGAGGCAACCATGAAGAGGTTTCACACAGACCTGTTAACATCTGAGCCCACAGTAAACTGTTTTAGCCACGTGGGTGCTCCTTTTCTTCTATATTAGGTCTTGCTTGGTCCTCTGTGCAGTTTCACATTCGTCCTTTCACATTTCAGCTCCTTTAGGCCCTTTCTAGACCCGTCATAGTCTGGCATCCCTGTGCTTATGAGATGGCTGGGTTGCCACTGACAGGAAAGGTGGTAAATTCTGCCAGTGTTTTCAAGCCCATTAGTCATTTCTGGAAAGTCCTTGCCTTGTCCCTTTGTGAAACCACTGAAATCTGGTGTACAAAGCAACCTCTGGAAGTGTTTTTTTTTCGCTCTGAGATTTTTCAGCTCAGCTTTTCAATTTCTCTCTCAAGTTTTCATGCTGATTTAAAGAAAAACAAAAGCATTTGCACAAAAAAAAATAATCAGCAGATCTGTATTCCTCTGCTCACGCTGCAAGCTGTGCATTGGGTGTTGGTGTGACAGCTGCTGTGGGAACATGTTACACGAGAATATGGGGATTGAGCCTTCAGAAATTATTTCCAGTAATACAACTTAGATGTGTTTGTGAAACTTGACATACGTTTTTACCTATATATGGTCTCAGTGTGTGCATATCACTTCAAGATGAAAAATCTGCATCTCATTTATTTGCTTCTTTTCTTTTTTTTTCTTTTTTTTTTTTGCATTGGTGTTGTTTTCCCATGAAAATTCTTGGGCCTATTGCACAGAATTTAAAAGTTGCACAACACAACCTCTGCAACCAGGAAAATGCTGTCCACATCTTCCCCATGCCCATCCAAACTACAGGAAAAAAAAGCACGTGCCTTATGTGATGCGTGGGGTTTCCATGGGATGTCTGCCTGATACCCCCTAACACCCAACTTACTGCTGTGCTGAGCTCTCAAAGGATTCTGAAGGCAAAGCGGTGCCTGCTTTAAAGGTTACTCTGCCATGAAAGGTCAAAAAGCAGTATTTTAGATCAGTCCATGTGTTGGATCAGACCAACCCCTATGTTGTGCCAGGGTGATATGCCTAATTTAGAGCTGGCTTACTAATACAGCCTACAACTCTCTTTGGGAGGTGTTGGGTGTTTGTGTTTGCTGAACTGGTATTTAATCCTTTCAGCCTGAACAGCTGCAAAGACAGGCAGGGTCAGCTCCTCGTCCTTTGACTCTTGGGGATGGTCCTGTGCAGGGACTTGATGACCCTTGTGTGTCCTTTCCAGCTCAGCATATTCTATGATTCTGTGGTTTTTACCCAGTCCATTTTGTGGCAGAATTGTGTGCAATGAATGTTTTGCCCTTCACACCTTATGGCAAAGCCTCACCAGTCTAAACCCCACCATTCACCACTAATTTTGCCTTTGCCACCCCTGTTACCTCCACCCTCCACCCACTGTGGCAGCTCTGTTCTTCTGTTCTTCTCCAAACCAGAGGCATTTTTAACATCAAACCCTTTTTCTTCACCTGCCCTTTGTGGTCCTCTCACAGCACACACACTCCCCCAGCCCTACAACAAGCGTTTTCGGGGTCCAAACACTGCACTCTTTGTCAGCCAAGTTTTGCAGTTCCCAGTGGGTTCTTGCTTGCATATCTGGGTATTCATTAGGTAGGATTTAATCCCAGCTGGCTTTGCTCCTCACCTCACATTTAATTACTTTTCTGCTCAAAATCTGGAACTTCAGAAAGACAACTACAAGGTGCTCGCACTAAGAGGCTGTTTCTCCAGTATTGCTGTAAAAAAACCCCAGCATTTCTTCTTCCTGTAAAGGTATGGGTGCAAAATAATTGTTCATGCTCTAGTTTTGTAGTTACATTGTAGAAAATGCTAAGACTTTTTTTTTTCTTTTTGTATTTAACAAGATTTGAATGTTTTAGATTTGTTCCTCACTCTCTCACCCATCCTGTGTGGTTGTCAAAAACGCCTCTAAATTTTGCAGAATTCTTTGACATAGAGAAAGGATGGAGTGATTAAAGATTGTTATATTACAACTTTTAAGAAATAAAATACTTTTTAAAAATTTACTTAGGAACAGAAGTAGTACTCTTAATAGCAAAAATATCCTAATTATATTTTTTTCTGAGTTTGTTTACGTAAAAGTAAGCTCCTGAATTGAAGCACAACCAGCAAGGGATAGAAATGTGCATTATACACTGCAACAGTGACAAAACTAATTTTATTTGTCCTTTCAAAATAAATGTTGCAGAAGTAAAATAGTTCACAACAACTCTGTATATCTCTATGGTTCCTAGTGGCACAAATATAACTCCTGCACCTCTGGCTTTTGGATTTTATTCCACCAGAACTCCCTAACTGGAATAGCAGATACAGTATAGCTGTATATGGATACATTTCCTTCTATGTGTTCCAACAAAATATGGATTGAGGTTAAAAAGATTGATTTTAAAAAAGGTGTTCTCAGCTTTCCTCTTCTAAATCATGAGCAGGTCTCATCAAACTGGGTCAGATCTTTTCGTTCCCTCAGTTCTGAATCTTGATTTTGGGCTCTGAACAATGCAGCCTCACCCCTCACAGCATTTGATTTCATTTAGTATAATTAAGCCCAGAAAGTCACCACATTTGTCCCAACAATAGTGAGGCTTTAATGTACATTTACAGCTGTTGGGAGAGTTCTTATGTTGCTTTGCATTAACACACTCAAACATATCTCCAAAATGTGTTAATTAAATTTGCTGGAATTACGTAACTTGCAGGGGGCGAAAAAGAATGTTCTAATTAGAAAAAACCACATTTAAATGTATTTATGTATCTAAAATAAATCTTCTCCCTGCGTACCGTGTAATCATATTTAAACAATGAAATGGGATTGTGCTATTCCTTTGAAACTGGCAATGCCTTTGATTTATTTGTAAGTATTTGTGTCAGAGTTACTGCCATAGTCCAATCTTTTTTCCCTAATCTCTTGAAGTTAATCTATCTACCAAAAAAAAAAACTGAAAATGTGCTGTGAACATCAAGCATTTTTACACCTCCCATTAGTGTTAGGTTTGTTTTAATAAATCCTTCCATCAGGCAGACTCAGAGGTCTGTGTAATCTTCTGTAAAGGTAAAAAAAACAGTGTTGGAATTGCAAAGCAGACACTAAAAAGTACGTAAATACTTCCTAACCTTGTTGTGATGCATTTCCTACAGGGTCGATCCGGTGCCCCACGACGCTCCCAAACCTCCAGGATATACACGATTCGTCTGTATTTCTGATACTCACTCCAGAACTGATCCCATCCAAATGCCATATGGAGATGTGTTAATACATGCTGGTGATTTTACTGAGCTGGGACTTCCTAGTGAAGTAAAAAAATTCAACGAGTGGCTAGGTAGGTACTGCGTTCTGTGTGCCTTTGAAAGCGCATTTGTTTGCTGATTGTATCTGCCCCTTCTGCCTCCCAGTAAAAACCACCATGCACTCAGAAATCATGAATATTAATTTGACTTTTAAATTGGAATGGCAACGAGCAGGAATCGTTATTTTTCGCAAATATTTTTGCATTTTTCCAAGGGAGCAAATAGGATTTGTGAGACTATTCATCTGTTCTGCCTTCACACTCCCAAGTGTACATTAAGCAACTTCTGGGTGTTAGCAACAATTTAAATCAGTAGGCCTTTAATGATTTACATAAAACCCCTTCCATACATTGTTATAGCTTTGCTTCCTCCCCCTCCCCCCCAAAAAAAAAAAAGTTGTTGTGACTGAAAACATTTGTCTGTTTAACCCTGGAGGCTCATAGTTGTGTTGTTTTTTGTTTTTTTTTTTTTAATCTGAGGCTCAGCTGCACCACAGTGCTGAATTCCAAACAAAGCAAACCCTGTGCCTATGGTTGCTGCCTTGGATGTAGCAGACCAGATGTAGATGCCTTCTGCAGGCAAGCCTTGGCATTGGGAGCTGAAATTCTGTTCCACTGGGCAAGAGAGTGGTGATTTACATGTGCTTCTGCAATGTTTTGTATATGCTTTGGAGGAAAAAAAAAAATGACAGTGAAAATTGGAAAGCAGGCACTGTATCCCAGACAAAAACCCTGCTCAGTCCTGTTCCTGCAGCACTGCGGGTACCTTAATTTAGAATAAAAGTGGCTTCTGATACTTCATTATCAAAAAAAAAAAAAAAAAAAGAGGGTGAGAGGGAATGAAGGAGTTGAAGAGAGAAAGGACACAGTTTAAGGGGAACAGATTTCAAGTTTTCTGTTCATGGATTTGCATTTTTTCCCTGTCTTTTTTTTTTTTTTTTTTTTTTGCTCCATGTTGCAGCATTCCACCCTGGGAAGGCACAAAGCAGACAGATGCATGTAGGCTGAAATGGAATATATATATATATATATATATAAAAAAAGTCAGGACTTCACAATTTAAACAAGTATTTACTAGCAAATAATTATCAGCGAGGCTGATAAATATTTATTTGAGCTCAGCAACCCAATAATATGCCCCACGTGGAATAATTGCATTATTCTGAAAGAATTAAGGTGGGAACAGTGTGTGGAAGTAATATATTGATGTAGTGCCATCACCTCTTGTCTCTGCACCCAAATGGAACAGGGTGGTTATAAAACAGAAAGCAAGTTCTGACCCTGTTGTGTAGATCTCTACCATGTCTTATCATAATGTCCTGAAAATAGCATGTACAAATTACACAAACCATATGGTTATCCTTCTAAATAATACCCATTTTATTTATCTGCTGGTGTGGGAAGAGAAGTGCTTGGGGATATTGCTGGCAAGGATGGGGGCTACCCACAGTACTTGCTGCACAGTTTCTGTGCATGGGCTCTTCATCATTTTCATTCCCAAAAAAAGGGCTTAATTTTCTGGCTTTTCAGGCGTGCTTTCAATTTCCTGGTAGTGTGCAGTTTGGGAAAAGGTGATCTTGGTGGTTTGGGTTAAATTTTTGCAAGAGCATCTTTGAGATATAGAAATGTAGCAAGTTGAAGATTTTTTTTTTAGTTTCTTGGCAATTAAAAAAGAAAAAAAGAAAAAAGGGAAGATTTAACTTAATTTTTAATAAATTTTTATTTAAGTGGACAGTTTATCAACTCTTGAATATCTTGAGTGTTTACAAAATCTACAGTAAATGGCAGAATGGTTAAAAATGTTCCCTTTGAGAAGGAATTTTACAAGTTTTTTGCTGGTTGTCCATTTTGCTGGTTGTCCATTTTGTTGTGAAAGGCACTGGTGTCCAACAGTTTAGGTTTTTCTAGAGGGCTACTTCCAGTATCTTCCACTATTTTGCAGCTCTCACAGCCTACCCAGCCTTCTCCTTCCTCCTCATCTTAATATTTTCCTGGTTTCTAGAGATAGTAAGTGACACATCTGGCATTGACTTTCACATCCACTGTCATCCTTACTTGCTGCTGCCAAATTTCCCTGTCCATCCTTTCATGCCCATGGCACTGGGCTCCCTTTCCCCTTATTTTGTTCTTTGTCAAATCCGTGTCTTCTGCTGTCATTAGATTACAACTTGGGATAGACACCAGAATATTTGTATGGGCCAGCTTCCCTTGATCTCATCTTCCTCTCAAGCACGAGATACATTCCCTGCTCCTGCTTTTGCTCCATGTTTTTATGTGTAGCATTGATTCTTACCCCTTAATTTTCTGGTTTGTCATGCCCCATTAGGTCTGTGGCACGCCGGTCTCTCTCTGTTTCATCTTTCCAGATCAACTTGCCCTTCAGCAAGTTCAGATTTTATCTTTCTGCTTTACATAAAATCCCCGTGCCTGTCTGATGGAAAATTTATCTTACATTAACAGCATTAACTTCCATGGACCTTATGGTTACACCAGGCACATGCTGAAGTGTTGTGCTAATAGAGGCACATTGGCTTGCTGAGTCATCCCCTGAAATATGTTCTCTCTTTTTTTTGACTGTATGTGGGCACACAGGAAGGCCTGGACCGTCTCAGATGACACAGCTCATGATCCTGGTATTGTCTTTGCCCGGTGCTTTGTCCGCCCTTCACTCACACAGCTTCATATTTTTTTCTCTTCCAACCCCTAAATCCCTCTGCTTGATTTTCTTTCAATTCATTCTTTTCGGTAATTAGTTGTTTCCTCTCATGTTTCTTTTCTGCTAAATCCCCTCTCCCCTCCTCAGGGAGGGACTTGGGGTTTTACTAAGGCCAGGTTTAACTCTGTGGAGGAGATGAAATGCTGGTGATAACTGGATATGCTGAATTTCTCAGCTTTCTCTGGTAGGCAGCCCACGGGCTCCTGCAGCCACAGCATTACTTTGTATTTAATACACAGATATTTTTTTTCTCTTAATTGCCTTTTGGATCTGTGCAGATTTTGAGTGCAGACACAGAGTTCCACGATGTGACAGGGGTGGACTGTGCTTAGGTTGAACCTGTTACCTACTCGTTTCATTTGGTATTTCCTAATACTGGAAGAGGCAAGTGATTTTCATCTTCATTCTGCTTAAGAATTTATAGGCTCGTTCCATATCTGCCCTTAAGATATTTTTAAGGCTGAAGGCTGTTCAGAAGTCCTTAAATGCCTTTGATCACCTTTGTCACTCTTTGTACCTCTTTGTATCCTTTTAAAAATGATGAGACCAGAACTGCACACGATCTGAGAACACCACAAATTTATTCCCTGGCAGAATGAGATTTCCTAGTTCTCTTTTCCTTTCTGGTGTTGTGGATTATTCTGTTTTCATTTCTAACTATGACTGAACAATGAGATGGCATTGTCATAAAATTTCCTTTAAATAATTCTATCAACTCTTTCCTGTATGGTAATACCTTGCTCACAACCCATCACTGTATCTACAGTTGGTGTTTTTTTTCCAGCATTTGAATTACTCTGCATAAATTTATGTTCAGTTTCATCTGTCCTCTTATTGCCCAGTCATGCAATATCATGAAGTGAGATTTCTATTTTGCTAAACTTTTTCAGGGTGACTTGGAAAAATAAGGGAAGAGAGGCTGAATAGTCAGCTTACAAAGCTTAAGAATGGTGCCAACCTGGTCATTTCCCTCCCTTCTTTTTTTCTTAATTGACCTTTCTCCTCTTTTCATACTTCATATTTTCCTTTTATTTTTTTTTAATCTAATTTGTTCTCTTACTGTATTTTTGAATTTGAAAATCCAGTTTTGGAGAATCAGGAAAAAATGAAGTACAGAATACGTGTTATGGTAGGACTGGACAGAAGGCCACGAAGCCAGGGAAACTTTCTAATGACATCATAAGGATGACTTTGAACATGTGCTAATTTCCCAGCATGTTCAGGAGATTTTAACAGATAACACTTTAAACAGCCAAAAAGGATTTGGGGGAGTTGTTCCTAAATGCGTGGACCTGTTGAAACTGGTCCAGGGAAAGGTCAAGAAAATGATCAGAAGGCTGGAGCATCTCTCCTAGGTTACATCATAAGACATGTCAGGCTCACTATGCACTGCAGCTTCTCTTTCTCCTCAGCTGTTTCATGATTTTAGTTTTTGTTATTTAATCCCTACCTGCATATAAATCAAGTGTGTTGCAGGACAAACATGAAGACACACGTCCTGCCTTAGTGCACTCCTCCAATCCTGACTCCAAAACCACCTCTGCTTTTTCATCTCCCATATTGTTGGCACTGGAAATTGCCTGCTTGGCTGAGCTGCTCATGTAATGCCTGGAATGTCAAGCTGCTCAGGCCTGGAATATCATTTCCAAGTTGTGCATGCTCCAGGACCCACTTTGACTTGGAGCTTGTGGGTTACTTCCCTGGAAATTTAACTAAATAGCTGATCTATGGTAGGAGTTGCAACACATAATTCCATACTTTCTCTGAGAAGTCTCTTCTGTGCATGAATTGGAAAGATTACTTAAAACTAACACATTTTATAATATATATTGTTTCAGTGTGTTTGCTCGAGATTTTCCAGTGTCTAAGACAGATTTCCTGTTTGAAATTCAAGTTAAAACTAAATTGGAGTTTAAAAAAACCCAGAAGGTGGCTTTGAGTTGTAGTGGAAAGCAATAATTAGCTCTTCAGAGTATTTTCCTGAGAATATGCTTATTGTACACCCATCTCCACCCCTCCCCCCCCAAAAAAAAAAAAATAATAATCCACTATTTGACAAGCCCTTTAGGAATTGACCTGGGCAGATGTAGCTCAAAGGATAATATTTTTATTTCACACTAAAAAATGTTTTAGAGTGAAGAGAGGAACTAGCACTACTAGAATTACCTGTTTCAAGTCTTAGGTTGCATTAGATCTAATCCTCTAACATTAAATTCTGTAGACAGAATCAGCTAATTTTGGTCAATAAACATCATCCCTACTTTTAAGATCTTGATAAAAGATCTTCAGAAAAGCCTGTGGTCAGTAGGCTTAGCTTTACT